CAAAATGTTACTATTAGCCTTTGTTTTATACTCTAGTGATTTTCTGTCTTAGTAATATCCAAATTTTTTACTATGTTCCAAAGGCATTACATTATGTCTTGACTTTGTATTGGCTTATTGTTTTTCTGCTCTTTTGTTTCTCAACACTTTAACCACACCATGTCAAAATCTTTGTGTGGGCTATTGGTTCTGTCGTGAACATTCTTCATTTAGATATCCACATGATGGTTTGGTCTGTGTTTATGTAACAGCTTGATAGGAGACCTCACTGACTGTCCTGCTCAATGTAATATCCTTCCTTTTCTTTTTTTTTTTTTTCTTGTATCTTTCATTGCTCCCTCTCTATCCCACTGAGTGCAGTGTAAGAATATTGATGGAAGACATTGTATGGTTGTCCTCTAATTATGTTTTTTCATTTATGTATTTGGTACAGGGTCTGTCTATGCGGCTCAGAATCATAGTGATCCTCCTGTTTTGAGCCTGCACAATGCTGGGAATACAGGCATGAACCACTACCCCTGGACTTGGTGGCCAGTGTAGTGTCCCCAGGGGTGGGGCCTGCACGGCATTGATTGTCCTCCCTAGTATGTTCACAATCTAAACTGTCCTGGTATAGGCACTGAATAGATAGGCATTCAGATATGTAGGGAATGAGTGAATGAACTGTGATTTATGTTCTAAGAGCTTCGTTTGTTGGGACTTAAAATATTTTCTCCTGTAGTAAGCTAAAGGAGTATGGTCAAAGCAAACCCAGTATAGTTTCCACATAGTTATCAGACACAGCTTTTAGCAGCTAATCTCTATTAGGACAGAAGGCAAATGCTTGTGATTATGAAAACATGGCATGTACTAAATAAAATCCAGACTTACTTTCCTGCTCAGATACAGTAGTGTAACATAAACCTTCAGTAGTCATTTTGGATCCTACTTACTGGGGGCTTAATTTGTTATCTCCGCCCTTTGGCTAGATCTGTTATTTCTGGAAGTGGGCTGAACTGACTGAATGGATTTAGAGGTGTTAATGTTTATGTGGATTATCTACCATTGGTGATGTAAGCATCTCTTCCTTTGAATAGATCACGTTTCCATTCTAATAAAAGTAACACAAACTAAAGCAATTGGGAAGGATTATAGTAGCAATTGAAGAAAAAACGGTAAAGTAATAACTTTTTTTCAACACCTTGGAAACTATTGTTAATGTTTTTGATATTTCTTACCAGTTTTTAGAGTATGTATGTTTTTACATAGTTGGAATGAATCAGCAGTTTATGAACAGTATTTATACTTAGAGTTCTTTGATATCTTCCTTAAGTTTAATAGAATTGCTGTGTGAATTTGACTTTTTGTATTTATACAAGGTATTCCTCAGAAAGCATTCCTTTTACACAGAGGCTGGATTTTATCCATGTTATCATTACCAAGTGTTTGAGTACGAGTTTGTCATCTTTTTGTACATTTTGAAACATTCTGTGTGGGCAATATTTGTCAAATAATGTGTATGACAGCCTTGTGTGTCTTTCTTCCCAGCTTGTTAGTTGTTTTTGCTGAGATCAGAGCATAGTCTGTGAAAGGGAAAGTTAAAATATATAAAGAAGACACTGAAGAAGAGTAGAGTAGTGCTATGGTGTCAGGCGTGGTGGATATGTGGAAGAGTTGCTTGTGACAGAACATAAGACCACAGAGTGGATAGAAAATATATAATAGAACCTCACTTTGAATCCAAATTCTAACCTACTATGGTACTTGTGAAAATTCCTAGCTAGAGAGAATATAAGTATTAATCATAATGGAAGAAGGAAATGTGAAAACTATTTGTAAGGATGGTTAAGTAATTCTACCAAATGAAACTTTCTCCTTGGACTTATTTTAAATAATGCATGATCACTATGGACACTAGAATGTGTAGATAGATAAATGCTACACTTAAGAATATCTATCAGTACTTCTTCTATGGTATTGAAAGTATGTATGAAGGGGAGATCACAGAAAGAGATAAATCTTGGATGGGGAATAGTATAAAAAAGAGACAAGAAAATGATACAGTGTCATATAAAATGTTAGAGAAAAATGTAATAATCTGCTCCCATCCATCACTGATACTTAACAGCACACAGCTTGTGAATTAATGTGTATTAGTGAATTTCTGACTGTCACTGTGCAGTGTTGTTTTCTAAATGTTTCTGTCACTAAAAGTGAAGTCAGCACAGCAAGCACCCTTCCATTTAGGGCATTTATGTTTTAGCAGCCTACTAGTTCTTTCTTGATTAATGATTCCAAGTAGAAGTGAGATGTGTCCAGGATATGGCCAAGGAGTCCTTGGACTAGGCCAACTCCTATGAGGCTGCCTGCTGAGGGTCAGTAGTAACTCTGTTGCAATGAAGAAATTAGAATGAATCAGTTAAAAGACTTCTTTCCTGCTTGGTGTTTGAATTGTCAAATGCAACTTGATTATTTCATATAGGATATTCACTCTTTATGAGAATTTTATGTACATGATTGTTATGATTTAGATCTGAAATGTCTCCCGAAGGCTCAGTGTTGAGAGTTAGTCCACATTGTAGCCACAATCACTGGTAGGGTTTATAGAAAGTGATTGGATAGTGAGGGATCTACTTTTATCACTGGATGAATCCACTGATTCATGATGTGATGAGTTGCACTAATGGAATTGATGGAAACTCAGAAGATGTGTCTAGTTGAATGGAATTGGTCATGGGCACACGTCCTTGGGTACTGTATCTTGTCTGCATCCTGTTACTTCCCACCCTCCACCCCCTACTTTGTGACATCACCAACTAGTGCAAATTCTTAGACACATAGAAGATGGCAATCTGACATAGTATTTAAGCATACTTATAACAGTCATTGTAGTCCACCTTGTTCAGGGTCATCTGTCAAGATACTGGTAATTGGCTGAGGGTTCTTGCTCAACTCATATGGAAACCGTGACCTGGGAAATTATAACTCTTTTAGTAGAAATAACTATGGGCTTTGAATACCAGTGTCTGTCAGCTCTTTTAGTGTTTATGACACTTCTTTTTTATTTATAAAAATTATTTTTATTAGTACATGTTTTCTTAATGATCCCTCTTGGCACTTGGAGCAAGAAATTACTAGCAGGCTTTGAGTATTCTGGCCACCAGAAACATCAGCCAGTGGTGATTCATTTTCCTTTTCCCCACTCTCTAATGCCACTTGTCTTAAGTGCTACCAGCTCTAACTTCTGGAAGCTTTTAGTGCCAGTTGCCTTTTTTGTTAACTGCTCACCTTATGCTACTTAAGGCAGAAATCATGTATAGGTAGCAATATGCTACCTAGTAGAAGCTTTATCAGAGCTGCTTAAGTGCAACAGTGCACAAGGGGAATAGTACACAGATTGATGCAGACTGATAACGGACAGCTAGATTATGTAGGGTTGTTATGGGTAGGATAGGGACTTCTCATGGGCCTGACAAAAGCTGCAAAGAGATGAAGTCATCTATGATACTGGAGTGGAGACATCTGTGAAGGTTGTGTGACTGAAACTATAGATGAAGTAAATAACTCTCAGCAACTATGGGGGATTCCTGATTAAGGTCTGACCTTAAATATTTAGGATAGCCATCTATCTTTGGGGAAGCATGGGGACCCCTCTCTTCTGTCTCATTGGCTGCTGTGAATAAGGAGCTTTCTTCTGCTGCCTTTTATCATGATGCTTCTGCCTTTCTGTAGGCCTAAAAGCAATAGAACTGGTAAACTATAGACTGAAATCTCTGAAGTCATGAGACAAAATAAACCTTTTCTTATTAAAATTGTATCAGGTATTTTGTCACTGCTATTGGAGAGCTGTTTTATACAGTGATCTTAGAGGAAGCTTATAAATCTGATCCCTGAATAACAGAAATGGTGCAGGTGAAGGATATAAGGCAACGTTTTTGTTTTTTTGTTTTTTACAGATATCAAACTGAAAAAATTTTATTCTAGGAGTAGAATAAAATTATATTTCTTAAATGGGTCTGTGTTTTCTGTTCATATCTGCAGGCTAGGAAGACCAAGTATCTTTCTATGTTTCCATATGAGAATGTGTCCTCTAAAATGCTTCTCAGAAAACAAGACAATACATGACTATTAGGAGAGAATATTCAGTTCTGTTCTCTTTCCTTCCCTCTTTTTTTTAATCTTGCATTTTTATTTAATTTTTCTTAAGCCCTCTTTGATGTGAACCAGATAATGGTTTTTGCTTGTTAGAATTGTTCTAGTAATTATTTTTAAAGTCAATTATATTTTAATGTTGCTGAGATTTTCTGCCTATAGTACAGAGCATGTCTGCACTTTTCTTTCTCCACATCAATTAACAGTTATGTCCAGTAGGTGGACTCCCTTATCTGCCACATATTAATGTTATATACAGGTTATTAGTCTTTTGTTTCTACCTCGAACTACTTTCTATCCCTTTCATTTGGAAATGTGACTCATGATTCATTTGTAGATATTATTTGTTTTGTGCTATTTTGAACAGTTGATTTAATATATTTGTTCCAACTTGAAAAAGTCTCTTGATTTGGGAATCTAATTTAGGAAAAGCCTCACTCAAATGACATTTGTATACTATTTCTCTTTGATGTGGTCATTGATAATAACATGTGACCTAAAGCCAAACTTTGCTAATAGTTCTTTGTTAGTTCCACCTCCAGAGAAAGAATTAAACATTGCGTAAGTGGACAATAATAAAGTAACCCTTTTCCTGTACAGTCAAGCCTAATTTTGTTACTTATTCTAGAGTGCAAGCCTGTGGAAGGGAAAGATTATCTCATATATTTTTTGTAGCATCTGTTGTCAAATAGAAGCACACTGTTTGGCACGCATTACTGGTAGGCACATATTTCTTGACTAGAATGGGGCTTATGGTTTTACTTAGCAAACTTAAAAGAGTAAGGCAATACAAAGATGCAAATATACAAAAAACAATTTATAAAACACAAATACAGGGAGCATGGGAAGCAGCGTTTTTCGGAAGATCCTTGTCGGACACCCGGTAGGGAAGAAAAATGCCCGCCACCCAGAAGCCCATGAGGTACGGACACACCGAAGGACACACGGACATCTGTTTTGATGACTCTGGGAGCTGTATCGTGACTTGTGGAAGCGATGGTGATGTGCGAATTTGGGAAGACCTGGATGATGATGACCCCAAGTCCATCAACGTTGGCGAGAAGGCGTACTTGTGTGCTTTGAAGAACGGGAGACTGGTCACTGCGGTCTCTAACAATACTGTCCAGGTGCACACGTTTCCTGAGGGGGCTCCAGATGGGATCCTCACGCGCTTCACCACCAATGCCAACCACGTGGTCTTTTAAATTTTTTTTTTTTTTTTTATTTGAGAGAGAGAGAGAGAGAGAGAGAGAGAGGTGTGTGTGTGTGTGTGTGTGTGTGGCCAGCTCAGCCCACCAGGGGGCGGGGCTGGCTGGCATGTGGTGCTGGGGGATTGAACCGCGGTCCCTGATGCCTTGCCAAGCTTGTTCTAAGTAGGTGCTTTAGACCACTGAGCCATCTCTCCAGCCCCAACCACGTGGTCTTTAACGCAGATGGAACCAAGATCGCCGCAGGATCGGGTGATTTCCTCATCAAAGTTGTGGATGTGATGGACAGCAGTCAGCAGAAGACATTTCGAGGACACGATGCCCCTGTCCTAAGCCTTTCTTTTGATCCCAAAGATGTCTTTGTGGCATCGGCCAGCTGTGATGGGTCAGTCAGAGTGTGGCAAATCTCAGATCAGACCTGTGCAGTTAGTTGGCCACTGTTACAAAAATGCAACGATGTGATGAACGCAAAGGCCATCTGCAGGCTTGCTTGGCAGCCGGGAAGCGGGAAGTTACTGGCAGTTCCTGTGGAGAAATCTGTGAAGCTGTATAGAAGAGAAACCTGGACTAATCAGCTTGATCTTTCTGACAGTTCCATCAGTCAGAGCCTCAACATAGTAACTTGGTCGCCCTGTGGGCGCTATTTAGCTGCGGGTAGTATCAACGGCCTAATTATCGTTTGGAATGTGGAAACCAGAGGCTGCGTAGAAAGGGTGAAGCATGAGAAAGGCTATGCCATCTGTGGCCTGGCCTGGCACCCTACCTGTGGCCGCATATCTTACACGGATGCAGAGGGGAACCTGGGGCTCTTGGAGAGCGTGTGTGAGCCCAGCGGGAAGGCGTCGGGCGGCAAGGCTTCTAGCAGAGTGGAAAAGGAGTACAATGATCTTTTCGATGGAGATGATACGAGTGATGCTGCTGGTTTTCTAGATGATGATGCCGTTGAGGTCTCTGTTCCGAAAGAGACCATAAATGATGAGGAGGAAGATGGCCTCATGGTGGTGCCAGGTCGCTCTAGACAGCGAAGTCACATCCTAGAAGATGATGAAAATTCAGTAGTTTTTTGTGTTCCAGATGGTACAGTGCTGAAATCTGCTCTTCGCGAGGAGGTGGAGGACCTCGCGGGCAGCTCGCACGGTCTGCCACCAGCGACGTCGCAGAGGCCACTGTGGGACGGGCCCAGGCCGACCCCCCGGCAGAGGCCGTTCCAGTCGGGGTCCACACCTGCACACCTCACTCACAGGTTCCTGGTTTGGAACTCTGTTGGAATTATCCGCTGCTATAATGATGAGCAGGACAATGCCATTGATGTGGAGTTCCATGACACCTCTGTGCACCACGTGACACACCTGTCAAACACCTTGAATTACACAGTAGCAGATCTTTCCCACAAAGCTATCTTGTTGGCATGTGAAAGCACCGATGACCTGGCAAGCAAGCTTCACTGCTTGCACTTCAGTTCTTGGGACTCCAGCAAGGAGTGGATGGTGGACATGCCCCAGCACGAGGACGTGGAAGCCATCTGCCTCGGCCAGGGCTGGGTGGCCGCCGCCACCAGCGCCTCGCTCCTGCGGCTCTTCACCATTGGGGGTGTTCAGAAAGAGGTCTTCAGCCTTCCCGGGCCCGTGGTATCCCTGGCAGGACACGGAGAGCAGCTTTTCATTGTTTATCACAGAGGTACAGGATTTGATGGAGATCAGTGTCTTGGAGTTCAGCTCTTCGAGCTGGGGAAGAAGAAAAGGCAGGTTCTGCGCGGTGACCCTCTTCCTCTCACAAGGAGAGCCCACCTGACCTGGATTGGCTTCTCAGCTGAAGGTACCCCCTGCTACGTGGATTCTGAAGGCTGTGTTTGGATGCTTAACAGAGGACTAGACAACGTGTGGACCCCTGTGTGTGACACCAGAGAGCACTGCAAGGGGAGATCCGACCACTACTGGGTGGTGGGGATCCATGAAAAGCCCCAGCAGCTCAGGTGCATTCCTTGTAAAGGCTCTCGGTTTCCCCTGACCCTTCCATGCCCCGCGGTGGCTATATTGTCCTTTAAGCTTCCTTACTGTCAGATTGCGACAGAGAAGGGGCAGATGGAGGAGCAGTTTTGGCGTTCAGTTATATTTCACAACCACCTGGATTACTTAGCCAAAAATGATTATGAATATGACGAGAGCACTAAAAATCAAGCAGTAAAGGAGCAACAAGAACTTTTAATGAAAATGCTTGCACTTTTTTGTAAACTGGAGCGAGAATTCCGTTGTGTGGAACTTGCAGATCTAATGACTCAAAATGCTGTAAATTTAGCCATTAAATATGCTTCTCGCTCTCGGAAATTAATATTGGCCCCAAAACTTAGTGAACTCGCTGTAGAGAAGGCAGCTGAATTGGCAGCCCCTGAGGCGGAGGAGGAGGAAGAAGAGGAGGATTTCAGACAAAAACTGAATGCTGGTTACAGTAATACTGCTACAGAGTGGAGCCAACCATGACTAAGAAATCATGTGGAAGAAGACACTGAGGACACAGGAGCTGAGGACACAGAGGAAAACCCTGAACTCCATCAGCACAGACAGAACTTGTTTTCCAAAAGTACAAATTCCTCTGAGGTACCAGCCGTTAAGTCAGGTGCGGTTACTCCTAGCAACCAAGGACGAGTAAACCCCTTCAAGGTATTAGCCAGTTCCAAAGAGCCAGCCGTGTCTGTGAACCTGCCACGTTCAACGAATATCTTAGACAGTATGAGCAAATCCTCCAGGAAACCCTTCGCGCCCAATCGAGTGGCTGGTAGCGAGAAGTCCCCCGTTCTCAAGCCTCTGATTCCAAAGCCAAAGTCTAAGCAGGCCTCTGCAGCATCCTATTTCCAGAAGAGAACTTCTCAGGCTGATAAAACCGAGGGAGTGAAAGAAGAAAACCCTAAAGATGTGTCACCTGCAGCACCAGCTGTGTGCTCACCGAACGCTGAAGCGCAGAGGCCAAAGACTGGGTTCCATATGTGGCTGGAAGAAAACAGAAGTAATATTTTGTCTGACAAGCCTGACTTTTCAGATGAAGCAGATATAATAAAAGAAGGAATGATTCGATTTAGAGTTTTGTCAGCTGAAGAAAGGAAGGCATGGACTATCAAGGCCGGGAGAAACCACTGGGGATGGAGTTGAAGCAAAGAAGCGGAAACGTGTGGGTGATGAGTCTCACGACGAGGAAAACCAGGAGGAGGCAGCGAAGGAGAATCTGAATTTGCCCAAAAAGCAAAAACCTGTAGATCTTTCTGCTAATCAGAAACTGTCAGCCTTCGCTTTTAAGCAGGAGTGAATGGCGGAAGTGGCCTGGGGGGAGCGGTGACAGTTCTGCTCCTCCGTGATGAATCTGGACTTTCTCTCCATCTTTGTCATATGCCTTATACTGTAGGTTGCTGCAGAGCTACAGGAAGGCTCTCCTCTGTACAAGATAATATAGCAGTCTGCGGTGCTGCTGGCTAGAGCGCTGCTTAGCACAGGTGCGGCCCCGACCTTGACCCCAGTGTCGGGGGAGAGAGTGTAGGAAGTGACGCGCTTCAGGGACAACAGTCGTCATGGCAAGTTATTCTGCCCCGGGATGGAGCAGAACTGTTCTGGTTGTGGTCATTCCTCGGAGACCACCATCACATCCCACTGCCAGCCAGTTTGGTTGGGTTCGTTTCTTTCTGAGGCAGAGTCCAACTGTGTTGTTCAAGCTGGCCTTGAGCTTGCAGCAGTCCTCCTGTCTCAGCTTCCTGAGTGCTAGAATTACACCACTGTGCCTCGGTTGGTTATTATTTTCAGAAATACTCAAAATTGAGGTCCTAACATGTCTGCACATTGAAGTATCTTCTGGGAATTTACTAATTTGATATATGTCAAGTTTGGGGGAGAACCAGCCACTGCTCCTCCAAGCGTGGTGCCAGAGACTCTGTTGTGCATCTACAGAGACCTGAGGACGAGATTTCTTCTTAAATATGAGCCTTAAACCTGTAAATAATCCGTAGATGAGGCTTTTTCTTTGTTGTGTCTTGGAAATGTGTTATATATTGCTGTCAATTGTCTGTATAGCCTTTTTTTTTAGGTAAATAAAACGTTCTCATTTTCATTTTTGGCAAAAAAAAAAAAATACACCAAGCCACAGATAGTATGTATATATATATATTCTCCAGAATTTGTCACTTTGATTATTTACCTATGTACTATTACAGTTTATATATATATATATATATATATATATATAATTTTTCCTTGAGAAGAGCTGCATTTTAAAAATTTTAATATTTCTTTTACCTAGTACATAACTTTGTACAAAGATGCATAATGTAGTGGGTATTTGCCTTTGTGTTTGTTTTATCAATGTACAGTTTCTAAGTAAAATTATTAAATGTACATTTACATCCCACAGAGCCTTCTATATTACAGTTTAATAAGCATTATGGAAGGAATGGGAAGTAATCTCAAGTTAAAGTGATAGTTGGATTTAATGATAATAGTAATAATATAGTGGCAATATATTCTAAGTTATAAACGTAAGATAAAGTTTTTGTTTGTTTATTTATTTTCGGTATTGGGGATTGAACTCAGGACCCTGCACTTGCCAGGCAAGTGCTTATTCTACTGAGCTATCTCCCCAGGTCCTAAAGGTATATTTTATCTCTGCAACTTAACATATTGGAATTTTTGACTTAAAATTCTGTCTACAAAATAGAGAATGATCTTATGGGAAAGTAGGCTTGAGCAGAGCATTGGAAACTAGGGCATTAGTAGAAATGTAATGCTCCAAATAAAAATATCTGCACTATTAAAAGAGTTATATATATATATATATTGTTTATATATATTCTCACTGCATTTAGGATTTCATCATACTACGTTGATGAAAAGGTCTTGATGCAAGGAAATGTGAAGAAAGATTGAGTGTTCAACTGGGGGAGTAAGGATAACGTTCACCAGAGACCAGGACAAATCACTTAGCAAACTCTTCCAAGCAGAGAAACCAAAGGCTCACAGGGATGAGTGAGCAGTGTGTGTTGTACAGTATTCCTCTTTGGCTCTCTTGGTTAATTTGCTGCTGCGTGGCAGTAGAGAATTGAGAAAAATCATCAGTTAATTTTATTTTTGTGTTATACTAATGCATTCTGCTGTTAATTGTTCAGATATGAACTAACAGGTTGAACTGAATGTTTTTTATTGCTTCAAAAATGGAGACAGTGTAAATTGGAACTTTGTGTTAAGTAGAATAATTTAAACCTCATAATGAAAAGAAAATTGAAAAAATTACAAAAGAACCTACACAGAACTTGCACTTGTTTTAGGACAGGAAGGTATAGTTTCAAGTTATGATTATTTTATTAGGTGTGTGACTTTGGGAAAGTTACAAGACCTCTTGGATATTGAGGATTTTTGTTTTTGAGGGGCAGTAGCAATACTTAGAAAAATTGAAGACAGATATAGTTTATCTCTTAATGTGTTATGACAAATGAAGGCTCAACCCCTGTATTCTGGATTAGTATTACCATTACCTGAAAACATTATTTTCCTTGGGGATCTTCCTACTAAGCTTTGGGCCTTTGTCAAATTTACATACTACTATTTAAAATTTATCATATATATATATGATAAATTACCCTGCACTATAAACCATTCTAATGGATCCAGTTGAATTCGGGTTATCCTTCAACATTTAGTTTTGGTCAGCTTTTACATTAATAATCTCAGTAGGAGTCCTGACAAAGATAGAGAGCCTGAGCTTATTTCTAGTACTTTTACAATGCTACTCAAAGAAGACATTTTTAAAGCTGAGTGGGCCAATATATATATATATGGTTTATGGTGTCATATAGATCTCTGATAGGTGGAGTTGAAGAAAGAAATCAGTCTTTGTCATTCCTTGGTCTCTTTTTGAAGTGTGGCAAGAATAATAAGTAAAAATCCCAAGTAGGTAGGAGATCCATTGTTTCTTTTGTAGGGAATTTGACTAAGATCTCAATTCTTGTATAGGTGATATTTATAACACATAGAATTTAAAAAGAAGAGAACTTCACAGTTGGCAAAGAAATATTTTGCTATGCTGAGACACATACATCAGAAATACTAAAATATTTAAGCAAAAATATACTGCATGGCATTCAATTACATACACCAGTCAGCACTTTTAAACATCTCTTGGTCAGTAAATCCCCCAACATTTGGAGGAAACAAAATTAACATATATAGAAATAGAATCAAGCGATATGTCTGGTTACTGGCCCCAACCTTATCACTTCATGTGTCTAAAAGTTTCTTATTAAAAATTTGTATTTTTATGGAAGTTTTTTTTCTGTTAGAATATATATTTTTTTTATGAGTCATCTATTTAGCACGACAAAACAATCCACTATATATCAACTTTAGCCAGTCTTTACCAAGCTAGATTACTTACCTATCCAAGATGATTTTTAGGAAATTAATTCATCTCAACTGAAATATAAGTAACAGTGAGTTTTATTAATGTTGCAGATTTCATAGTACAAGCCAAAGAATATAGCATAGATACTTGTATTTCTTTTTGGCACTTACGTAAAACTTCCATGGTCTAATTTATAGTATATTTTATATGGGTTTATATTGTATTTTTGTCAAGGATGGGTATTCCATTGCCATTTAAATATTGTAAGTGCGTAAATTCAGCAAAATAATCCAATATAGTCCAGTAGTCCATAATACTTAGTGGGTTATCTGTAGGACTGGCAATGTCAGAAGCTGTTGACTTAAGCCTTTTACAGCAGAGCAGATTAATATGGCTTTACTTTTTATATCTCATTTTATACTTTTATGCTGGATGGTTAAGATGAAGTAAAGCAAGACCTATATAGCAAGAAATGTACCTTTTGTATCTACCAATGTTAGTCAGATCCCCTCAGGATTTACCCTGTACTGCAGTTTATAGATCCTTTGTCATAATCAGCCATCTGGATGAGTCATGGCCATCGTTTGACTAATTTGCTCTCTGTGAAAGCCTGAGAGAATATTTTCTCTCTAGGTGACTCTTCTTAGGTGCATTATATATCATCGATCACTTTCTTCTGTGGCCCCATATTCTAAAAGGGAGGTATAAATGAAGGACCATTTTTTATCTGTATATGCAAAGTAATTAAGATAGATACATAGCTACTTTTTCTTAATTCAATGAGAAGATTTGTACTAATAGTGTTTGGACAGGATATCTTGTCTGCATCTTGTACTATGAATAACTACCATGAAGACAACAATATGCAGTGCATTAATGATTGTAACTGTCCTACTAACCTGTTTTGAAACTGTCCCATTGCTATTTGTTTCTCAATAAAATTAATAAAAATATATTGTTGTATTTTAAAATAACTTAAGTAGTTATAGTGTACACATTGTTCATAATTTTAAGAGAATATCAAGACAGTAGAAATTGGAAGCATGGTATAAAGACTATTTTCCCTCAACCCATTTGTAAATTGGTGATTCGAGTTTCCATTTTCCCCAGATATTTTAGTGTGTAAAGCTACACACACAAATATTTTCCCACAAACTGTGGTATTATCAGAAAACCAATATACGAACATCAGTATAACTCCAACTTTCTAGGAGCCTGAGTTGGGTGGACTGCAAGGAAAAGCCACCCTGGGCAATTGAACAACCTACTGATACCCTGTTTCACAATAAAGAGCATAAAATGTGTGGATATATAGCTCAGTGTGAAGGCCCAGATTTAATTCCCAGTACTGCTGCCCTCAAAGTAACAAAATATGTAGATCTAAATAAAACAAAAGATCTAAATATGTAGATCTGATTCCAATAAGTATTTCAACACAATTCTGTCCTAGAAGTCTTTTGTGCTAAGAGGATTGATCTTAAAATCACATACTGTTTATTTGTGTGGTTATCCTTAGCTTGCTTCAGTCCAGGGCAGAACAGTGGTGCTGAACCTAAGACATGTGTTAGTGTGTGTGCGTGTGTGTGTGTGTGTGTGTGTGTGTGTGTGTGTTAAGACAAAAGATGTTAATATATCGGTTTTTTAAGAGCCAGCCAAATAGCTCAGCAGATTAAAGTGCCTGCTTAGGCAGACCCAGGTGCTGGGAGTTAGATCCCAGCATGCCGTGCTGGCCCTGCCCCTGGGCGCACAGAGAGGTCAATTGAAACGGGTTGGTGGTGTGTGCTTGCCCAGTACATGGGAGGCTCTAAACAGGAGGATCACTACGAGTCTGATCTACGCAGTGTACAGTACTCCCTGTCCTAATATGTGTGTGTGTGTGTGTGTGTGTGTGTGTGTGTGTGTGTGTATAATATCGGTTTCTTCTAAACTAAAACCTCAATATTCAGATTGTATTGTTGACACTTTGTGATAAATAGGTGGGTTTTCAGTTGCACTTTGGGCTGTTAACTCTGAAATGATCACCATCATGCATCTAGAACATTTCCTCACTTTTTAACTTTCCTGACCTTACCACTTGTAAAGATTGCAAGCCAGATGTTTTGCGAAATATTTTCCTAGTTTGGGTTTCTCTTATGTTTCCTCAGGATTAGTTTTGAATTTGGCATCTCTGGTAGGCACCTTTGGCAAAATGGATTAGGCATCCATCCACAGGAAAGATACTTAGTCTTTTCATTGCTTTCAACCAGGTGGTGCATGAATTCAGTTTGCCCTGTTACTAACAATGCTCAGTTTGATTGCTTGACTAAGTAGATGTCTGTGAGATTCTTTCGTTGTACAGGGAACACTTCCCTTTTTATACTTAGTATTTTGTGGGAATGTATTTTGAAATTGTCTAAATAGCCTGATTTTCATGAATCTATTTCATTTATTTTTATCCATATAAAGGCTTTCCACTTGTGCCTCAAGTTTTCACAGTTCAGGAATCAGTAACTCACACACATTTACTTCTGTACTCTTACAACATGTTCCATTATTTGAGCATGTACTTATTTTGTGCTAATTATGTACTTTCCCTTAGTTCTAGAATAAGCCCTTTCCCTAAATAGCCAAATTCCTTTTCATGGAGAATAGTGGATGCCAAAATATAGTAGTTAGGTG